CAGACGATTAATGCATGTCCGAACGAAACCACAATGGGATGTTCTTCAAGATTTTGAGATACATCAATGGGAGTACACAAAAATAGATTCTTTTGACTCCAGCTCGAGCATAGCCTGTTACTGATTTAAAAGCTCGAACTCAAGCCCCTATTCAGTGAGAACCAAATCAAAGCGAACTCATCTAAGTTTCTTAGTTTTGGAAAAAGTTTGGAGAGTTTCTCAATTTTGGAAAAGCGGTTCTCTTTTATTCCAGGAGTAGCATTTGAACCTGAGAACAAGTCCAAACAGGAAACATAAACTACAACAAAACCACAATACCAATTCCGGTACATTCAATTTAACAATGGAAAAAACTTCTTGAAACCTAGTTTTCCAGAACAAAACGTAGGGACCCTGCAGGTTGCAAGCCATATTGGCTTAATTTTAAACATTGATCCGTAACAACCTCAAAATAGCAGCCCAGTCCAAAGCTCCTTCTAGAGCAAAATCAAAGCCTTTAACTTCGTACGTCTAGCATCAAAACTTTTAACTTCGTAAAGTCGCTAGACGTGCAATTGAATCATTTTGACAATCCCTGAAAAAAGCAATAACCCAGAACCGATAATTGAAAAGTTACATTTCGCACCGCCATAAACAGTGAGCACAGGTCCAGCAAATAGCATATCTCACATCTAGAGCAAATAAGGGATTAAACCTCTTTAGCTTCGACCTTAGAAAATTACCCCGTTTCCTCTTTCCTAATGCACCACAGAGGCATTGGAAGTTTGGAACATAATCCCTGAATACAATATTTTCTCTTCTATCCACTTAAAAGCTTCCCCAATACATTCAGGCCAAAGAAGCTCATTTGAAGGAAAAAGACAACCAAAAAGAATTAGCAATAATCAGCAATCCATGAATATCAGCATCAGATCATGGTTAACCCACTACCTCGCATTTTTGCATAATCTGTAGAATTTAGGAGTTCGAAAACCACAATGATAGAGGCAGCAAATTGCTACAGATTAATTTTAACCGCAACAGGACAAAAGCCATTACTGAAGGAGAAAGCTCCCTCGGTCCGTCTTCCACATCTTGGCGACAGTAATGAGCATCCCTATTTGGACAACAACAAAGGAATTTAACAGTAAACGCTCAACTTGAAAAGCGAAATAGGATAGGTAGCCACCTTATCTAATTGTAGAGGCACTAGTTACGAACAAGCCAAGGCATTCACATCCTGTCCCGACATGTCTATGGTAACAGTCAAGAAATGTAGAAGCCAAAACATTTGTTACTCAAATGCATTTTTCCAGTATCTAGTCAGGATCTAGTGTTAAGTCATTGATCCAGAAAAGGATACACCCAAGAGAATATCTTCACTCCATGAATCCAAAATCTAAGCCTTCATAAATCCCAATCCATTGTTGACACGTCTTTCTATGGTCACAATTTCAGTCGAGCATTTAAACTATGCCCAGCGCACCTTTTTGCACCAAGTCTGCAAAACCTAAGCCTTCCTAAACCCCAAGTCATTATTGACATCACTTTCTAGTGCAAGGATAATAACATAAAGTCTGCAAAACCTAAGCCTTCCTAAACCCCAAGTCATTATTGACATCACTTTCTAGTGCAAGGATAATAACATATTTTCAAAAAAAAATGCCACTCTTTCTATTGTCATAATCTCAGTCATGCACTCAAGAATGCAAGCAATGCCCAATGCACCTTTCCCAATATTTATCTAACTACAGGAAATTATCAAGTTCTCCATAATCTATAGCAAACGATTTTAAGCTTTAAGATCAAAAGCATTGATCAATGTTCTCCATAACTCATAGCAGACAATTGTGAACATTGTGAACAGTTATAGAAACTGTACATTCATGTATAACTGTGAACAGTTATAGAAACTGTAAATTCATGTATAAATCCGCCATTGTAAATCAAGTTTGTAAGATAATAGAAACAATATCTTTCACATGTTATCAAAGCCATAGACTCCTCGGCTCAGATCTGAGCTCGCCAACTGCAGATTTGAAGTCGGGAAATTTCAAGACCGTCTACCCTGTTGTTGGCTCATATTCGTTCCGGAAATTTCGTCTGCATCAAACTCTCTCTCTCTCTAGAAAATACCCACCTCTCTCTCTCTAAGGTTCAGCGTTGCCGAGTTGACGAATTTTACAGAGACACAGGTGCAGTGTTTGGTGGAGCGAATGCAGGTGCGAGGTCTCCATGTCGAGAAGAGGGGCGCCGCCCTGGTGCTCTGTTGGCAGAGGCGCCCTCTCATCGCCACCTCTGCGTGGCGCTGCTGTTGAGGCCATGGCCACCACCACGTTTTTCCTCCTGCTGCTGCTGTGGCCCTGTGTTGCGAATTGGGTTCGGTCTAGCATCCAACGCGGATAGGGATCCCAACTTTTGAGAAGTTAATGTGGAGGTTGTAACTCCATTTACCCTGCGATTTTCAGAAGAAGATCCAGAAGACTCACCCTCCTCCATACCTTCTTCATTCCTGGTCACATCCATTGACATGGAAAACCCATAACCACCTCAGCTACTTTCATTCTGTCCCTCCTCCTCCGATGGATCCTTATTATAAGGTATTGCAGAACCAGAACAGTCGAACCCCTCATCCTCATAGTCCCCAATTTCTCCCTCTTCTCATCTCGGTTTTCCCGTACTTTCTTTTCCTTTGCAATAGAACCCTAAAAGCCCTCCCATGCTTTTTTTTTTTCCAAAGCAAAACCAAAAACCCAACAATTCTCTCTACAAATTAAAAAAAAAATGTGGGTTGGCCTTGTGGTCCATTGTGCTTTTGTGGACCACTCTGTTTCTTTGATCCTACAAATTAAAAGTTTTAATCCTTGCTTGTTCAAATTGAAAAAATGCGAATCTTTTTGCCCATTAAGCTCAATAGAAATAACTATCCATTGAGCTGAACTGCGTCTTTCCATATCACTGCACCATCTTTCAAAGTTCGCTAACCATCAATCTTGCATCGTCTTTCACCATTTTGATAAATCACACCATTATTTTGCATCACCCGTCAATAGCATTTTGCCTTATCCATATTTCCATATTGTTTCGACTCTCTGATTCGTCTCACTGCCGAGTTGTGTTTCGACTTTCTGATCTATGTTGGATCTTATTGCTCTCAACCCCAAATCTAAGGTCCAACTATGCTTGTTGATCTGTCGCTGATTTCTGTTGACTCTTCCAAGTGCCTCCTGTTTGATGATCGAATTTCTTGATCCAGGTTGATGACCAAATTTTCCGTTGCTTGATCATGTTTGATGATTGAATTTTTAGTCACTCAATCCTATTGAATGGTGGAGTTTTCTGTTGCTCCATCCTGTGTGATGATCGAGTTTTTCGTTATTCGATCCCGTCTAATGATCGAGTTTTTCGTTACTCGACACCGGTTGTTTTGAAGGCTTATTTGTCCATTGTTGATTTTTGTTACTCGATTTCGTTTGTTCTTGAGGCCGTCTGTTGTTCTTGAGGCCGGCTGTTGTTCTTGAGGCCGTCTATTGTTCTTGAGGCTTATTGATCCGCCACTGCAATCTGTGCTTGTTGTTCTTGAGGCTTATTGATCCGCCACTGCAATCTGTGCTTGTTGTTCTTGAGGCTTATTGATCCGCCACTGCAATCTGTGCTTGTTGTTCAAGCAAGCTAAGCATGGAGACCACTACTTCTAACGGTCACACCTTGCACCTGAAGATCGAACTCAGTTCTTTTATGCTACTTATTGTTCAAACTCGAGCTGCGTTGTGTCAAATCATCTCGAGTTTAAGGGGGGAGTGTGAATAGTTATAGAAACTGTGAACAGTTATAGATGTAGGGTTCCCAAGAACCCCTAGGTTGTGGAACCGAGAATCCCAAATATCGGGATCCCACCCAAGATCGTGTACATGATTGACTAAATGTGAAGTAGACGAATACAACCATAAATCAAGTGCGAGAAATAAAGCAGACATAAAAAGCGCACCACAACAATACACAATTTACGTGGTTCACCTGTAGGGCTACATCCACGGCCTCGGCAACTAAAAATCCACTATCATAATGAAGTTTACAGTTTTGGGTTACGAAAGATAATACCTATTTGTTTAACTGGCTTGCATTCCGGTCTAAGCGGTAAATGGTGGACCACCATGTCAGTGTCTAACCCAGGCATATCCTCATTCATAAGAACATGCGAAGACGTCTTTGTATTCCCTGAGCATCTCTAAACATCGGTAAAAGACCATCACCGTTCTTCCCTTCTAAACCCGCTCTCCTGACTGAACAACACTGTCGATCAACATCCTCTTTCCCATTGCAATACCTCTATTGAAAAGATAACATCGAGAGCAACATAGAGATTTTCTCTCTCTACAGGTGGAAGTTAACGAACCCAAAACTCATGGGAATACCGCCTCTCTCTCAGAGGCCATGTCTCTCTTGGAGACCCATCTCCACATTGGAGATCCATTCCCACAACCTTGAAAGGGGTGACCCTCAAAATGATGGGTATTATGTCCTTTTTCACTCTCTTATAAAGATATCACTTTCTTGTTTCCCAAGAAAGTCAATTTTCTATTTTCCATAATACCCTAATCTTTAGAAGAAACTATGGGTACGGTGATTTAGCTATCACCAAACCCAACAATAGAAACTGTACATTCATGTATAACTGTGAACAGTTATAGAAACTGTAAATTCATGTATAAATCCGCCATTGTAAATCAAGTTTGTAAGATAATAGAAACAATATCTTTCACAAGCATTAACATTGATCTTAAACCAGGAATTCCTAGATTCATAAACAACTCTTTTTCAATACAGTTTAATGGCTTTCTTCTTTTGTTTGGTGAGAATTAAATTGTGCAAATAGTAAGCAGAAACATCATTTTCTGATGAAACACTTCAGAACATCATTTGGACATATGAATCCAATCAGTTTGTCAAGCACCATAAAAAATATTTGTTCACTAATATTGTGCATACTGCATAGAATCATATTGTGCATACTATTCAGAACCCGAAATTTTGTGTTGCTACTATTGAATTGCTTCAGTAAGTGATCACAACGAGACAAGGATAGAACAAAATAAAAACCTTGTAGTGACAGCAATGGAGGAAAAAACCAGACTGGAAAACCATAAATAAAATGTAGCCTAACAATGACACACGATCACATATTCCTGTTATTGCATACACATATCAGACTAATAAAGAACACGCTTCTAGGTAAAAAAGTTGATACAAAAAAGATTAACATGCCAGTTTTCTTATGTTAAGAATAGGCCAGTCTAAAGTTCAAGGTGAAAAATTGAAGTTGAACTGCCACATGCGCGTCCTCTGGCATTAGTCAACCTTAACGAGACTGGCTTCTGAGAGACACAAAGTAAGGGACCAAAAAAACAAAAAAGAGAAGGAAAACATCAAAAAACAGAGTGATGGGAAAGTATATTGAATTGCAACCAGACCTCCCTTAATTGGGTTCCTTCAAACCTGGTTTGCTCATACCATCAAGGGCTGTCGGCTTGTGAAACAAGCTCATAATCGATAACAACGTAATCCTCCATCTGAGCTCGAACCTTCTCCTTCTGCAACTTGAGATACTCTTCATTCTCATCCAATTCCTTCAATTCTTTCAACCCATTGAAGAAAGAAAGCACGCCCCAACTAAACCCCTTTGCCCGAGCAGGTGTAAAATTCTCCCCAAAGCTTAATTGCTTGATCGAAGGGAAGAACTTCTTACAGTAACCAAGTATATTCTGAACCTCACCCCTTTCTTCATCACTTAGCCCCTCCCTAGGCTTCAAAATTGACAGGCGAAAAGCATCCCAAGTGGGAAACAGAGGCCCTTCAACATCAGCAACCCAATCCAAAGCTAATATATCCTCTGAGATAGGGAGAATGAGCTCTTTGAGCACAGCTACATGCTTTGGGTCCCCCGCATACTGAGCCAGACCATCTTTATCATGGTACCTACTGTGCAAAACATGGGTAAATGTGAAAGAAGGGGACTCAATCTTAGAAATGCGTCCAGTGGTCAAATATATGACTGAATCCAAAGAAGTCAGGCCCCTCAAACCAGACATCATTGCATCTACTTTCTCAGGTTCAGTGCCTTCTCTGATCTTGAACAGGACTGTGTGTTCCACCACTTTGGAAGACATTTGGGCTAATGGGGTTGCAGAAAATGCCCTAACAGAAAGTGGATTTGTTGAGATTTTAGAGTGAGAAGAGGCCCCCTTCAAGAAAACTGGTAAATGGGTTCTTGACCTAGGGCTAAACTGAACTTTACTCAATGAACAGAAGGTACTCAATTCAAAGAATCCCCCTCTTAAACTGGACTTACCTGCAAACAAAACACAGAAAGCGGATCAATAACAGAGAAAGCGTAAAGATAAGTGGTTAAGTATTCAATCAGAGAAAAATAGAGAAATTGAAGTGGGGGGTTGCTAAGAAGAACCTGCATAGAGAGAATGAGATAGAGCTGAAATCTTTGGGAGGAACATATTTCTTCTTCTTATTGGTTTGTTGAGGTCCACCGGTTCTCCCTGTTCACAAAAGTCTCAATTTTACATGAAAGGATGGGCAAATGATAAAATCAACGGTATGCACGTGTGCCCTGGTTTATATGTCGGAACCC